ACAATTAGATGCGTCACAATAATAAAATTGATTCAGTTTATGTGAGGTACTGAAACCTAAGGAAAGATGACATAATCGTGCTTCTGGCATTTTCATTGCAACTAGTGAAATAATATCGTCGCTGGCTTTCTTTTTTTCTTTTCTCTTTGAAGATGAACCTGTGGTGACTTGTAATAGAAATGTTAAGAGTATTTTATGATGAAATAAACGCGTATAAATTTCTGAAAAATATTGCAAAAGGAAACAGGTACTTTTTTTTGTCAAAATCGTAATATCTCGTGCAGAATATTCATATGCTGCCCATGGAGATGTGTGCGCGAAGTTTTCTTTAAATTCATTATCATCCAAACATAATTAGTTGATATAACATCTATATTTAATAATTTGTTGCGTTTCTGTGTGTTTCTGTATACTTCTGCGTAGAAAACTGTGAAATATTTCTACAGTCAAATCAGAGAATTTTGGAAGTTCAGTCTTAATAGTCTCTAAGATAGAGTAATTATTCGATTCCCAGAAGAAAATATTAGAAAGAAACATCAATGGCGTCTTCGTATAGTTTCTGCAGCAGAATTTAAGAAATATTGTCCATACACGAAAACAAGATTCTAAGTAAGCATTCAAATCACCAGATCGAAAAAACACAACATAAACATCCAGAATGAGAGGAATCGTATTATCAAGCAGATCCTTAAGTGCAAGATATTCAGCATCTTTGCACAGGGATCCAAATTTCACTTCAACATTCATCGAAATTTCCTGCCAAGCACTGCGAGAAATCTCTAAAAGAAGATTGATACGCCATGACTTGGGCTTTTGTGCGAGAGGTTTTCATTCTCCAAAAATATATTTGTATATAGTTGAAAAAAAGGTTGATATTGAAGGAATATTAATTCACGATTATTCAGAGAAATATGCAGAGGACCTATAATGGGAAGAAAAGACAAAATGTTCTCAGTGATATTTGATTGATCATGATAAGATATATAACGAGAGATAGCTGTTCTAAGATAAATTTGTCCAGGCCAATCAGCGATGATGGGAATAATATATCCTTTTTGAATATATTGCTGCATAGATGGAACATTTACAATGATATTAATAGCTCTAACATAGTCATTCAGAGAATGAAGATTATTTTCCTGTAAGTCTACAAGAATAACATCCTTTATAGAATGAGCATTCTGTGTTTTTTCAACCTAATGTCATAACTGTATACAGTTAACTCTTCCAATCTAGTATCATCATCAACTATATGAAATCCCCAACATCGATTGTGTGAAAAACCATAAAGCGTCATGAATCTATTTTTCAGATTCATTTTTATTAATTTGGCATCAACCAATGCAGGATTGTGTATATTTATCTTTGGAATTGCTTTTTGTGTAGTAATCAGATTTATCAAAATCGTTGCCAGATGTGCTGCAGTAGAAGTGGTGATCATATTCAGCATCCGTTTTATATAAATACTATAATAATCATCAATGTTCAATATCATTGCATTCTTCGCATGCTCAGCAAGAATAGAATCGACTGTTTTAGCATGTTCTTCAAATACATTAGTCTTATGTCGTGTGATTGTACGAGACATCGTAGTTACATCCAAATCAACAAGAGTATCTATAGAGATATTAGAAGCACCGGTAGAATTCAAATATATCGCTAAATCCCTCTTTGCATTATTAACAAACTTGTTCTGAATCCCACAAAGAAAGTAATATATGAATAAGAGTTGCTTTTTGATCCACGTCTGTGAATCTTTATTTTTTGTGGATGAGTTAGATGAAAAATATAACTTATCAAAAAAGGATTTTAATCTCGCATCCTCCCCTTCCATAACTACACGAAATTTATCAAATGAGTATAATGTTGATTTTTTTCTCTGTTTTTACGAATATATAAGATGTTAGTTATTATTTCTATTGCTTGGGAAAAAGATAAAATGATATTAATATTTTCAATTTCATTAATCTTTTCAGTTTCATCAAGTTTGCATCATTTTGTACTAGTTTGAACATGATGCTGAAATTCATGCGAACTGTTTACCACAATTCCATTATAACAATTTAAACAAATTGTATCGTCTATTTGAATATAATCTGGTAAAGTATTATTGGCTTGACCTTTAACAATAACATTTTCAGTTATCTTTTTCCATCAGTTTGACTGTCTTTGACATATTGTAATTACGCATGGACCAGTAAGAGGAGTTGACGGTGGCATATTTAAAGTACTTCTGGATTTTGGATTATTTTGAGATTATTTTGCGTCGAGTATGTTAACACTTTTTTGTAACTAAAAACAATAGTTATTTTATTTTCTACTAATAGTAATGTAATGTTCTAGTCATATTCCTGTAAAAATACTTTAAAATATATAAATTAAGTACCCGAGTTGTACCCAAGTAATTGATTAAGATCAGCCAATCACATAAAAATCCTCCTATGTGGTCACAGTAACAGGTCATACAATTGCACAAGTTCAAAAATGAAAAAATTGGTATAATATATGATGTGTATTACGAAGTAATGGCACTTACGTGCTTGATTGAACATCTGTATTACACAATCAATTTCGGGTTACATGATTATATTATGTATACAGAAGTTATATGATCTTTGATTTTCTTCTATGATATAGTATGTGATATGTATTATCTGTATTATGCCATTCTTTTTCTGATAATGTGTGGTAATAAGGGGTGTTTTCATTTGGGATCACCATTATGAGATATATAAACCAGGAATTATCACAAGAGACTAAGCTAATTCATCGCTGTTTTGTGAAATTAATGTCAATCTTTGCTCCGTCTTCTCGCAATTTTTGCTCGAAGCCAGATGATTGTGATATATATGCAGGATAGCTATATAATCTTTTTTTGAATATATGAGAAAAAAGGCTGAAATCATCTACGATTTCCTGTAAATATTGAGTGATTCTGAGCTGAAGTAATTAATAATCACCAAATCTGAAATTAGCTTTCATAACATCTGAAATTGGTTTTGTTAGTCACGAAGAGTGTGATATATGTGCTTTGGTACTAACTCCGTTATAAAAATGAGTTATGTATATGGAAAACTTATGTGTCAGAGATACTAGCTCCGCAATTCAGTTATACACCTCGCTATGTTTGTTAATATCTTATCTCTCAAAATTCTTGCATTAAACATTCTAAAAAATTCATTCTCAAAAAAGATTGCGGAAGACGTGAATGTTCCGGAACTAGATCCATGCTCATCATGCAATCAAGAACTTTTTTTGTATGAAATAAAAAATCTAATTACTATACTCATTTGTGAACATATTTATCATCACAATTGCATCGAAAAATTCATCAAAAAATGCTCAATATGTCCAAGATCTGATTGCAAGAAAGAGATAGAATCTACGGTTGATGCTACGTCTGAAAGTCAAAATACCAACGATTTGATTGATATATCTCTAACATTATATACTGATCTTCACTTTCCAAGTCTGTCCCAATATAAATACTCAAGTTTGCCTGAAAAGCGTATTAGTGAATTTACCAATAAATCATTCAGCAAGAAAGTGAAGAAGCAGATTTCAAAGGAAGATTCTCCTATATTAAAAAAACTTATTGAGAAATTAACATCAATGATACCTGAAAATTCTGGAAAAGCAATAGAAGTCAACAAAGACACCAATAATTTTTTGTATCATTATAGCAAAATTACGCAAACTGAATCTAAAAGTAAGATAGCAAATAGGAAAGTCATTGAAAGTTATTTTAATTTTGGTGAAGCTATGAAAAGATATTTTGATCATTATAAGAATCTAAAACATGGAGATTGAGCTTGCTTGGCTCTTGTTAATGACGAAATTCAGAAACAACTCCCTGATAATATCACTAATAATGCATTGAAAAAAAGAAAGGAGTGAGCAGGAAAAATATATGATTTATTTGTTAGTATTGGTAAAGAGAAAATAAAAGGCATTAAATCATTTTCAGTATCAAACATTTCAAACTTAAGTCAAGAAAATATTAATTATGTGATAGTCAAAGTTTTAAAAAAGGGGTATCGTTAAAGCGAAGTAGTGCCCAGCCACGATTGGCATCACATAGTCTGGTGATCTGTGGCATGATAGAACACGTGTTCATATGTCTATTAAATTATGAGACATTCATATGTCTGTATGTCTGAATGCCTGTACGCTTGCATGTATATTAAATTATGAGACATTCATATATCTGCGACTAAATTACGAGACAAAGAATAAGTTTATTGTGATATAATAATAATATGAGGCTTTTTTTCTCTTGTTGACTTTAAAATGAGATGGATTTGTTGGAAAGTCTGGTGTATAGTGTTTCTTTGGTAAATAACGAGCATTTCAGACCGAATACGAGTGTCTGGATCTCATTTTCAAAAGCAAATAATCAGCTAAGTTTCGAGATTGATAGGATACTCTATATTGTGTGTTAGGTAGAGCCTGTCAATTCCCTGTAAAACTGATCTGATTGAAGTATCCCCACCAGAACCAATCATCCAACTGAATGCGTTCTTTTGACTTTTAAGTTGTGATATTTAGTTCTATGAAAATTATATTAATACTTTTTTTACAACATTACCTCCAACAAGAACTGTTAATTATTATTATCACCACTCCATCACCGCATCTATCATCATCACTTCACCACCGCATCTATCATCATCACTTTACCACTGCATCTGTTATATCATCTCTACTATCTTTACCATCATCACTTCTTACCATCACCATTATTATCACCTTGACTATTTCCAATAGGTATTTCTTGTCTTATTCCAGATAAAAAACTGATTCTTCTTTTTAATGTACAAAATGCATTCGAGATTCCAGATGAAGAATTTGATAATGATTGGTGACTCTTGATTTCAAATGTATGAACTCAATTCAATTCCTATAAACTTGTCAACAGTGATTTTTACGTGTCAGTTTACAAAACACTAAGACTCAAGCATGCAACAAAATGAAGGCATCCCAAACAAAAAATGCAGAAAAACAATGATTCAACCATCTAGATCTTGTTATGCCAAAATTAAAATTATGCAATTAGTTTCCTCCAAAAAGATTCAAATCGAACGCTATAATAATTCACCAAATCATATACATACTTTAAAAGAAAGTGATCAAGTCAAACGTTCGGAGGCTGTTTGAACTCTGGTTAAACAAGAAGCAATAAAAAATTATCTGTCAGTAGCAATTGTCAATGCTATTAAGGAGTACGTAACTAATGAACTAAATCTTGATGCTAGTATTCAAAACTTAAAATAAAGGAAAGTCGCAAATATCAGATACAAGCTTCATGGATCTATGAAGACGCACTTTATTGATAGCACCAACTTAAAGTCAGATGTTCTGGAAACTGTATCCTATTTAAATGAACAAGAATATTATGTTGTTACCATTTTGATGGAGCTTTCGAAATACTCAAAGATATTTATAAAATTTAAGGAATATTCAAAGGGAAACTTTCAATATCTTAACGACAATTCAAAGT